CTAAACCGTACCTTCCCCAGATTGAAGGCTCTGGGCCAGCGGCGGTCGTGCTGAGATCGGTGCAAGGTTGAGCTCTTCCCCCAAGGGTTTAGGGTTAAGGGTTTAGGGTTTAGGGTTTAGGGTTTAGGAAGGGTCCAAAGGACCCAATAATCAGGTACTTTGGTTGCGGATAGTGGTTATCTAGGTTAATATCTGGGAGAGTATATGGGTAGTTCTCTAAATGAGAGTCCCTTTTTAGGTCCCCAATATAGTACGGCACCCTTATAAAAAGGACCCTAAAAGGGACCCTAATTTTGACAGCCACCCATATGATTATTAGGTACTTGAACCCTTAGGGTTACGGCCTCTTCTCAGGGATTTGGGCTTTAGGGTCTGGGGTTTTAGGTTTTGGGGCTCTGGGGTTTTAGGGTTTAGGGGTTTAGGGTTTAGAGCTTTAGGGTTATAGGTGTTTAGCGTATGAGGATTTAGGGTTCAGGGTTTTAGGGTGTAGGGTTTAGGATTTAGGGCTTGAAGAACTTTGGTGCTTCGGTGGTCGGTGGGCAAACGTTAGTGTAGGCTTTGTCGATGGAAGCGCTGGGTGCTTTTTTTAATTAATGGGTGTGCTGCGAGTATGATTGCAGGACCAGTGGCCGCCACTCCACGAACCAAGGGTTCACACGCCGGATGTTGACGGTGACGCTGAACTCTTCGAACACGTTCCTGGGCCCTAAACCCAAACCCCTAAAGGTTCCTCTTTTCCACTGCCAGAATAAACTTAGCTCTGAAAGCCTTGAACCCTGAACCCCCGAAGTCTAGCAAAGCTGTCAGTATCAATCCCGACCCCAGCGCTTTCGAACTTAAGAGCAAAGTCAGTGTGTGATGGGGTTGCGGGGGAGTAACCTCTAAGCCCAATACCCTGGCCCAAAAAAGTTTAAACTTTTCTTTGAATAGGGATTTAATATACCAAAAAAGTTTAAAGTTTACATATTGGGCTCCTAGGGTAAGACGATGATTCTGTGTACTTTTTTTTTGACCTCTTGGTGTGCTTCGTGGCACCCAGAAATGACAGATCCCTTTAAACCAGGCCCGGAGCTGCTCGCCTGTGCCCCTGAACATGCAAGGTAGCCGTTTGAGCCTAATGTCGGGGGCCTTAATTAAATTTCGAACAGGGTTTTGGGGCGCATTCTACTGTATTTATGCCACGGTAGCATTGATAATTATTTAGGCCCCTATAGTAGGACTCACTTGGTCGACCATCAAGAAGCCGACTGCTTGCGACATTGTGGCGCTGTTATCACCAGACCGTAAGAATCAACCGGATTCCGTGGATTAGTAATCATTCTGCTGAAAAGCCACGAGACTCCATTACTGATGCAGATTCCTTGGGCAGCCCTGGGGTAACAATATCGCTCATCAGCTAACTCCGACAGAAATTCCATGTTACTCCCTACTCCTCAACTGACTACTACTGCCACCAACCATTATAAGCAACCATGTAGGCAGTTGTGCCAAGCAGCGCACGAAGAGTCCCCAAATCTCAAAACCAAAATGCTACCACCCACTGTGTCCCTGAACCCTAAACCATCATCCCCGAAACTTTAGGGTTTAGGGTTTTTAGGGTTTAGGGTTTAGGGTTTAGGGTTTTTAGGGTTTAGGGTTTCAGGGTTTCGAAATCTTCAGGCAAGGATCACCACTTCGGAGCCATCATCCGGCTTGCACAGAAAGCGCTGAGCATAGGGAGAGACCAGGAAGCGCAGCACATCGGATGCCACTCTTTTGGACCTGGAAAGCAGTTTGTAAGGGTTCGGGTTAAGTTTCAGGTGTAGCGGTGTAGACTGACAGAGAATCGGGTACTGAAACAGGGTAGGATCCCTCTCCATAGCACTTCCTTTTTGGGATTACCTTGTAGGATCCTAACTATAAGCCACAAAATGCTGAATACCTGAAACAATCGTTGTTCTTTCAACCCTTGGCCTAAAGGATTGGCAAAGGACTGGCCAGAGCTCGTTTGCGAGCGTCTTCGACGCCGCAACTTCTTGCGCCACGAGGCTCGCCCAACTTTCTTCAGCCATGGTGTGAGAAAGGGCTACGGGCCCATAAATCCTACACAGTCTTGAGGGTCGTGGCTGCTGATGCCGCAAACATGAAGTAGAGAGGTTTGCCGATAACCCCAAAATCCAAGAACCCCAAACCCTAAACCCCTAAAGCTTGAACCCATGCAACCTGAAACTCTGGACTATGATGGACTATAGACTTAGACCCGCCCGCCGGTGCGTACTTTCTTTCCTTTGATACAAGCGGACATTCACAGGGAGTAGCCTCTTGGTTGACCCCCAGGGTCCAACTAATGTAGGGGCCGAAATAATTAGAATAGGGTTATGGGGTATATTATACTAAAATTACACCAAGGTATCCCCAAAACAGTGTAGGTACTAATTAGAGCCCCTTTTTTACCTCATGGTCCTTCGAATGTTCACATGCATGTACTGCTAATTACGCCCGAGCAACTCACGGGCACTTGCTTCCTGATAGGATTTTTGTCCATGCATTTTGGCATGGACAGGGGTGTGAGGAGTGCACATTGAACGTTTAACGTTGGGGACAAAAAACAACGGCAGGTTAGTTTCTAATTACGGGGTATATTATGATTACTATATGTGTTTGTGTCTGAGGTCTTCAATAGCAACTACACTAGCTTTATGTATTATTTAGCTAACTTGCACCCTCGGCCCTAGGAATCCAAGACGGGAAATCAGCCCGAAATTGCCACACTCGACGGCTAAGCGAGAGAAACACAAACCAAAACCCTCAATCCTAAATTCTTACCCCTAACTTCAAACCCTAAATCCTAAACCCTGAACACTTACCACTGACCCCTAAATCCTAAAACCTAAACCCTAAACACTTACCACTAACCCCTACACCCTCCACCATCTGAAATCCAAAGACCTGAAGAGCAGCAGCGCCTGAGAGTGCAGGTACTCCAATCCGAGGAGGATCTCGCTAATGTAAAACCTGGCACGGCAGACCCGAACCTTTCAGGTACCTACGATATAGGGTACTAGAGCCTTTAGGGCCCTATATAGCCTGGAGGGTTAGGGAGAGTTACTACAGGTTCTCCGGTTTTTCCTAGAGTTTGGTGCTTAGGGTGGGCCCTAATCCAGAAATAATCAGGAAACAGTAGACTCCAAACTACGCCCTGCTCCTGAATGCCCGAAGCCCTCAACAACCTGCAGATCAGATCCTGATGAGCGTAAGACTTCTCGGCTTGCCCTAAACCCTAAACCCTAAACCCTAAACCCCTAAACCCAGAGGCTGCTTCTGTACGCACTTCGGGCTGTATGGCTGTGTAGGTGTTGATGGAACCCTAGCCCCCCAGGTACCTACTATATAGGGTACTGGAGCCCCTAACCCCCCTATATAGTAGGTACCTGGAAATTAGGGTAAGGCTTTCTGGAAAATACGTATTTTCCAGCCTTTTTACATGTGAAGCACCCCTACGGTGTGGCCCGTTACCCTGATCACTCTGGATTGACTTAACCCTAGCCCCCAGGTACCTACTATATAGGGTACTAGAGCCCCTGGGGCCCTAAATAGTAGGTAACTGGGGGGTTAGGGTAAGGAATCTTGTAGACGATATCGTCTACAAGATTATGTGTGCTCAGTGACTGAATAGAATCGAATTTCAGAGCGCCGTGCGAAGATTCTGGAATACTTCCGTTGCGGCTGAAACACTACCTGAATCTACCAAACCTACTTCTTTATAGGCTCTCTCCCTTTCAATTCTATATTCGGGTTTGCAACAAGAACCTACAACAAATTAGGATATGGTAGTTCAAGGTAGTCTGGTCCTTAAACCCTAAACCCTAAACCTGGAGCTTGAAGCTCAATGAAGGCATCGAGGAAGGCCTGGTATCCACTTCTGAGAAGGGACCGCGGCGGTCTAAGTGGTGAAAGAGCTCGCCACCTTCGTAGGGAGTGGAGGGTCAGGGTTTGAGGACTACCTTAAGAAACCAAAACCCACTTTTTTGTAGGCTCTTATTGTAAACCCTAATATGGGATTTATAGGGACCCTACAAAAAAGTAGGTTTTGGGTTCTTAAGGTAGGGTTTAGGGTTTAGGGTCTCGAGTTTAGGGTTGATGCTGTAGGGTTTACGGGCCTAGATCGAATCATGAGAATCTGCTAGAAGAGTTAAACAAAAAACAGTGTTTTTACAGATATTTTTGCAAGGGCTGTATAAGATTCTAAGATTTTATAAGGCTTGGTATTAATGATTATAGGCCCAAAACAGATGATTAATGTAGATAGGGCTCGGGGGGTCTGTTCTACTAACCGACCCCTAAACTGGTTTCCTTCGAGGGCCCTTTTCCATGCGCAAAGGGCGTAAGCCTAAGTTACGCTGTTAACCTCTAGGGTTTCGGGGTTCTGGGCCCGCAGCCACGCTAGGTAAGAGATAGTCCGTAAACGTCCAGTAAGGATCCTTATGACGCGAAGCTTAAGGCCCATGACACGAACCACAGAGTGCCATAACCTCTTGGAAATGCCGACGCTGTACCAGTGCATCCCCACTGAACTCCTAGCTTTTCATGTTAGCCATGCATTGCGTAAGGTGGCCCGTTGGTACGAATCACTCAGCATCACGATTTTCTCGGAGCAAGTCCACGCAACGCTACAGTAGAAGCCAGAAAGCTCGAAGAAAGACCAGGAAGGTGTTGTCGTTGAAGATTTCGGCTTCTCCCCACTGTTCTGGAATCCTATAACCCTAAGCCCTAAACTCTAAACCCTGCTAAACCCTCTGGCTGCCACTAACGTGGCTAGTATCGGGGCGGGCTCCTTTATGGTATAACTGTCATGGGGAACCCTAAACCCAAAGCCCTGCACCCCTA